CAATATTACATCCTAGATCTGTTCCATCTTTAGCTAGCCAATAAATATAATAGAAAGGGACATGGGGTTGAGCTAGGAGACTTTTCTTTCCAGTAACTCGATCGGAATAGGGATACAAATTCTTTTTTAAACATTAAATATAGATAAAACGAATAGCTTTGTAGATGATCCTCCTAGTCTAAAAATAATTTCATGTTCAACCTTATTTTTAAACAGAGTCGATGACAAATATGTAATACAAAAAATATAGGACTCGCATAATATGAAAATAAAGAGATGAAAAAACAGCTAAAATTGTTTACAAGACGCACGCTAATGTTTACTCGCGACAAAATTATAAAACCTCTACCACATAATTCTTAGGAAAATACACAAAAATAAGATGTAAGATATTAACCATTCAAATAAGGGTATTTTTTTCTTAATTTTAAAGTCCTAAATATTAGGCACTTCTACCTAGTTCAATAAGAAGAAAAAAACTTAATAATTAAAATTTTAATTTATTTTAAAATTCTAAATATTGGGAAGGTAATTTAAATTATAATTTAAAGTAATTAGGAAAGTAAAGCCGCGAGAGAGGTATTAGGGGTCTCAGAGAGTTACTCTGGTGGTCACAAGGGAGACTAGTGGTGGAATGGAGAGGTGCAAGGAAAAGTAGAAACCAAGAAAGCAGCGTATCTGAAGCTAGTGGAAAGTGTAGACAAGGAGGAGAAGAGGACGAATAAGGAACACTATAAGTTGGCAAAGAAAGAGGCAAAACTAGCAGTTACGGCGGCCAAGACTTCAGCTTTTAGTCGTTTGTATGAGGAACTCGAGGGTCGAGGGGGGGATAAGAGGTTGTTCAGGTTAGACAAGGCGCGAGAAAGAAAGGCGCGTGACTTGGACCAAGTGAAGTGCATCAAGGATGAAGGAGGTAGAGTTTTGTTGGATGAGGGGCTTATCCGTCGGAGATGGCAGACATACTTCTATAGTCTCTTAAACGAGGAGGGGGACATGAGTATTGTACTGGGTGATTTGGAACTCTCCGAGAGTCATTGTGACTTTGGGTATTGTAAGCAGATTAGAGTTGATGAAGTTGAGAGGGCTATGCGTAAGATGAGCAGGGCAAAGCGACCGGGTCGGATGAAATCCCGATAGAGGTTTGGAAGAGTGCGGGCAAGGCAGGCTTAGAGTGGCTCACTAGGTTATTTAATATCATTTTTAGAACGAAAAAGATGCCCGAAGAGTGGATGTGGAGCGCGATGGTTCCTGTATACAAGAACAAGGGTGATATCCAAAATTGTAATAACTATCTGGGTATCAAGCTGCTTAGCCATACTATGAAAGTCTGGGAGAGATTGGTAGAGCTAAGGGTGAGGAAGAACGTGTCTATTTTCGAGAACCAGTTCGGGTTTATGCCAAGGCATTCGACTACAGAAGCCATCCACCTTGTTAGAAGATTGATGGAGTACTATAGGGAGAGAAAGAAGGACTTGCATGTGGCATTCATCAACTTAGAAAAGGCGTACGATAAAGTTCATTGGGAGGTTTTGTGGAAATGTTTGGAGGCTAGAGGTGTACCTGTTGCCTATGTTAGGTTGATTAAGGACATGTATGATGGGGCAAAGACCCGAGTGAGAATGGTGGGTGGGGACCTAGACCATTTTCCGGTTATGATGGGGTTGCATTAGGGGTCGACACTCAGCCTTTTTTTTATTTACTCTAGCGATGGACGTATTGACGCGCCACATCCAAGGGGAGGTGTCGTGGTGCATGCTATTTGCAGATGATATTGTATTGATTGACGATACGCGAAATGGTGTGAACGCGCAATTACAGGTATGGAGGCAAACCCTGGAATCTAAAGGTTTCAAGTTGAACAAGACCAAGATAGAATACTTGTAGTGTAAGTTTAGTGGCGAAACTCAAGGAGGGGAAGGGGAGGTGAGGTTGGACTCGCAGGTCATCTCTAGGAGAGGAACTTTTAAGTACCTTGGGTCTACTATTCAGGGGGATGGGGAGATTGATGAAGATATCACGCATCGTATTGGGGCGGGATGGATGAAATTGAAACTCGCTTCCGGTGTTTTATGTGATAGGAATACCACCGAAACTTAAAGGTAAATTCTACAAGTGGTGGTCAGACCAACGATATTGTATGGGGCTGAGTATTGGCCAGTCAAGATCGCTCATATCCAGAAGATGAAGGTAGCAGAGATGAGGATGTTGAGATGGATGTGCGAGCACACCAGGTTAGATATGATCAGAAATGAGGTTATTCACGACAAGGTGAGTGTGGCCCCTATTGAGGACAAGATGCGGGAAGCGCGGCTTAGGTGGTTTGGTCATGTGAGGAGGAGGAGCACATATGCCCCGATGGGGAGGTGTGAGAGGTTGACATTGGAGGGCCTACGAAGAGGTAGAGGTAGGCCAAAGAAGAGTTGTGGAGAGGTGATTAAGCAAGATATGGCGCATCTTCAGCTGACCGAGGACATGACCCTTGATAGGAAGGTATGGAGGTCAAGGATTAGGGTAATAGAGTAGGTAGTCTATGATGTTCATAACAGTAGTATTGGCACGCAGTCTCGCTTTCTGTTGGTAGTAGATTTTTATGACTAACCGTTATTTTCTTTCATTGTTGATCACCTTACTATCTTGTTGTTTTTATTCTACTTTTGTATGGCTTTTTGGTATTGTCCCTTCTTATCTATATTTTTATTAATATGGTGCTTATTCTTTCCTGAGCCGAGGATCTATTAGAAACAACCCATCTATCCAGGGTAAGGTCTGCATACACACTAACATGCCCATACCTCATGGTGTGGGATAATATTGGGTATGTTGTTGTTGTTGTTGTTAATTTTGTCTAGTGTGAGACCGACATATGTATTTGCCGCATCAACCAATTAAAATTAGCATACAAAAATGAATTTTATAACACTGTAATGGATGTTAAAGTAGTGCAAATATTTATCTATTACATCGAATAATAATTGGACTTGCAACAATGAACAATTTAGTTAAGTTTGTTATAATGCATTTATTAAAATGCCAAATATGCTGCAAAGAATATCAAACGCAAATACATGTAAACTACAGTAGAAAAAATACATGTAAATTGCTAAGAAAAATTAATATTATAGGAGTAAAATCTTGTTCATACAATTAATGTTAGATTAAAAATATGTAGTAACAATATTCATGAGAGTTAAGTTTTATGTCAAATACGTGAAAGAATATGTGTTGGTGGTGTTGATATATAAGATACAAAAGCTAAAATTCAAAGAGATGAAGCTTGATTTCAAATTCTAAAATATTAGTCAAAGTATTAAATAATAAAAATTCATGTAATATGAGATTATTTATTTGTAGAATTAAAATAGTACAATTTGATATTGATAAAAGCTTGATATGTGTATATATATTTTAATACAAAAGCTAGATTTGAAAGAATCTTTTTTTTTTTAAAAAAAGGCCTATTAGAGATCCATATTAGCATAGATTTCCAGAAGATATGGAGAAGTGGAGAAACAGAAACAGTAAATCTGAACCCTTTCTTCTCTATTTGATTAAAAAGAAATTCATTTTCTTTCATCTAAATTCATTTAGTATTCATTGAAACATATAAACTTAGTGAACGTAGACAACTCAAGAGACATAACCATTAAATGTTTATTCCTAAACATTAGGAAAAGGAATGGAAAGAAGTCTTAAATATTAGGGAAATAATTAAATATTTATTTCTAAATATAAGAAAAATAATTAAATGACTATTTTGTCTAGTGTGAAATCTATTTTTGAAGGGTAAAAAAAGGCTAACGACATTTCGCTAAGGGTATTCGTGCTTTTTATAAATAGAATAGATAGATACATATATAAAGATAGATACATAGATAGATAGTAGAAAAATATTTATAAAAAAACAAAAAAGACAGAAAAGATAAAACAAATTCTATCCAAAACCACAAAACTAATACTCTCCCCTGATTTTTTTTACTATTTTCACAAAGTAACTCATCTTTTTAACATTAATTAACAATGAAATTGACCATATTAATCTTAATTTACTCATTAGAAATATAACAAACTACTCTTAGACTCTTTACTCCAAAGACAACTTTAGAAAGAAGAAGTTAATTTCTTTTTGATATTTGAAAAAATTAAATATTGTGTATCACAAAAAAGACTAAAAAATAAAAATCACTTAAAGTGAATCGGAAGAAGTAGTAACATGCATCAAAGTATTTATTCAAGTAGCAGAAAAGAATTCAAATGTGCAAAAAATGTTCGACTTATTTGAGCTCCTCTAAAAAAATGACCTCTTTTTAAGAAAAAAATAACTTATTACGTCGATCAACTGATGAAAAATAGTGGTATTATTTATGCAAAGGAGGTGAAGGAATCAAGACTTAAATCGCTCAATGCTAATTTACATGATGGGAGAGAGGTTAGAACCAGACTATTTTGCAATCTTCCATTTAGAACTTGCTCAATTTTTGTTTTTATATTTATATTTCATATCGTAGGTTTATCATATTAGTACTATTCTTGTATTATTTTATTCTTGATTATTTATTACTTGTTATATCACTCGATTCCATTAACTTATTACATTACTATTACTATTGTTTGTTGCTTTATTTTTACCGTTTTTTAAGCCGAGAATGTATCGTAAATAGTCTCTTTACCTTTATAAGTTAGATGTAATGCTGTGTACATACTAGCTACCTAGAATGGGATTAAGTTGGGTTTGATGTTGTCGTTGTTTATACTGAGTTACCAATTGACAAAAGAAAAACTTATCAATTGGAAAATTTTATTACATGGAGTACTCGATCATTACGTAATATATTTTTATATCAATTAATAGTATTTTCTTTTTAATATTAAACAATTTGGATGCGCCGTTCACAGAACTTTATAAATACACCTTTTTACCTTCTTTTTCTCTATCACCTTCGCACGGAACCTCTTTCCCATATCTCGCAAAACCCTAAACTCACATCTCCCTCTTCCTAAACCTCTCCTTCAATTCCATCCAATTTTCACCGACCAATTAACCCAATTGATCGTTCCGTTTCCTCAATTCGACCAAGTTTCACCTACCCATTAGTCCTAAAAGTTCAATCTTTTTCCTCAATTCCACCAAAAATTCAATCGTTTCCTCAATTCCACCAATTTCTCACCGACCCATTAACCCAAAGATTCAATCTTTTGCTTCAATTTCATCACAAATTCAATCTTTTTCCTCAATTCCACCAAAAATTCAATCGTTTCCTCAATTCCACCAATTTCTCACCGACCCATTAACCCAAAGATTCAATCTTTTGCTTCAATTTCATCACAAATTCAATCTTTTTCCTCAATTCTACCAATTATTTCACCGACCCGTTAAACCCCAAAAATTCCATCTTTTTCACCATATGGGCACATTTAGGGTTCCATCGGAACCATCAAAATCCCCAAATTCATCATCATCACAACCCACAACCACCACATCGACATCTCGAATCGAGACGATTAATGGGTCCCACGAATTCAAGGTAGATGGTTACTCCTTATCTAAAGGTATGGGAATTGGGAAATATGTAACTTCTGAGATCTTTACCGTGGGTGGTCATTCTTGGGCTGTTTACTTTTACCCTGATGGTAAAAGTGCTGAGGATAATGGTACTTATGTCTCGCTTTTTATAGCGTTGGCTAGTGATGCAACTGACGTTAGAGCTTTGTTTGAGCTGTCTCTTATGGATCAGAGTGGTAATGAGAGGCATAAGGTTCATACCCACTTTGGTCGCGTGCTTGAGACGGGTCCTTACACGCTAAAATATCGCGGTAGCATGTGGTAATATTCTTTTGCACATCTGTACTTTTTATTGTATTGTATAATAATGGCATGCGATGAGGCATGGGATAACTTGGTTCATATAGCCGACCCTAACTTGTTGGGACTGAGGAGTAGTTGTTGCTGCTGTTTATTTGTACTTCTTATAGTATAATATTGGCATGCGATAACATTGTCAATGAGGATTCATATAGCCAAACCCATCTTAGTTGTTTGATAAAACTGAGGCGTAGTTGTTGTTGTTGTTGTTTATCTATACTTCTTATTAATTGTAGTTGATTTTTGTTTTTGCTATCATGGGTTAGTATACACTTGCATTTGGATTATGTTTTAGGCAGTATGTAATATGTAGGGATAAGTCTAATCATTAGTGCTGGAATGAAGCGGTCCACTAAAGTAGAATGGATATAGAGGATGCGGAAGCCACAAGTACTTTTGGGTTGAGGAATAGTTGACTTATTGATTAATATGGGTTATTTGTAGTCCTCGAATTGTTTGATCTGAAAAGTATTTTTATGGGTTAGTGTGAATAGGTTAGGGTTTAATAAAATGGTAAGAAGGGGCGCAGCTGGGTTTTTCTCTAATGGTGTTCAAGCTATGAAGAAGTAAACATGGTGAGCTGCAGCTGGGGTTTCAGTGCGGAAGCTTGAACCCGCTTGACCGTTTCTCTAAAGGCATTCCAAATGTAATTTACCTGTATTACAATGAAAGCTTCTGACGTCACCTTGACTTAAGCTGGATCCACCAATTATGGCAACGCGTTGGTGGTCTAGAAACATCTTTTGTTGGTACATCATGGGCTGTGTTGGTATATGTACATGTTTGGAATATGTAAATTTAGTGCATAAGCTAAAGCTGAACATTGAGAGCAAGTAGTTTGTAAAATATAGTGTGTTCAAAATTTATAACATTGTGGAGAATGAAAAGCTTCCTTTTGTCACTTAGATTTTTGGTGTAAAACGTTATTCCGTATTGTAAATAGTTGGGTGAATTTTTTTGAGTTCATATGTTATCCATACTCCGATACAATAAAAAGGACTTGGTGCTATATTGATGTAATCCCTTTGCTCATCAAAAAGTTGGTCTAATTCTTACTGTAACATGCTATGTATTTAGTTCTTTATTTGCAGCTATCTGCTTGCCTTTCGCCTTTAACCACTAATCTGGCCTGTTTTGGCTCTAATGCTGTATAACTAGCTTTCCTCCTTGGCCCTTGCAGTATAAGTGGTCTATTGATTTTAATACTATTGCATTGAAGATTACTTTTCGCTGTAACCCTGATAATTCGAAATTTGGTGCTATTGGGCAGGGTATATAAGATGCCATGATGCACAAATAAACAATGAATGACTTATAGTAGGTGTTGAGACATGTTAACTCCATTAGGCTCATTCCATCATGATTCTTTTGATTCTAGTACTTCTCAAAAAGAAGGTATAGCATTATAGGTTCTTTCCCATTGTTCAATTAAAACTAGATGTGTTCAAATTTTGATCTCCTTTATGCGGCAAGGGGGAATCTCCTTTAAGCAGAAGTTTTCAACGAGTGACGACGTACAAGTACAGTGAGGGTGAGGTTTTTCTTTTTTATAGGTAAGTAGTTATAATTTACAAGCAACAACCACCTAATATGTGATGCAGAACTTGCATTTTGGAGGATGCGACCTTTGTAATCATAGTATAATCAAGTACACAAACGTGTGAGATATACCTCGAAGAAATATCATGTCATGTCAAGGAGTACAGAGAAACCCGAAGGATGAGTCTCGTATTCAGAGATCTCCACTACAGAAACTAAGTTTTTAACATAACAATCAGAGTTAATCTTTTTTTCATTGTTATGGTTGTTTGCATGTTTCCAACCTCTTTAGTTCTCCTTCCAATCTAGAAGTCTTCCTTTCTGGCAATTTCAATGGAGAACTTTCTCCAAAAGCTTTTGCATTTAGAATGTAGCATTGATACGAATCCCTATTACATAGTTTTCTTCATGTGATTCGAGGTGGCATGTGTATGCTCCTGCACACCTGCCATAACATGCCATTGTTTTAGATGTTGATATTTTTTATTTGCTTCTTTTGATTATTGTCCATTCAGTATTTGCTCCTACTCTGCCATCCAAAGGTATCTACCTTTTTGTCCAAACCTGTTACCTTGTATTTTCATTGTCTCTTGCTGCTTCCCAAGTTGGATGCTTCTGCGTTCTCAATTATTAGGACCAGCCTTGAAATTACATTGTCCACTAGTCATCCTTAGTGTAGTTTTCGCCTTTCAAAATGTAAAAAGTGAGTATCACCCTTAGGGTTATACATTTTCATTGGATGACTGCACCTGAAAATGTTCTAGGACCGCATGTTTACATCTGCTAGTAACTTTGTGCTACATGAATATTTCTTGAGAGAAATGAGCAAATAAAAGAAAAACGGGTCAACAACATCTTAACTTGAAAATCAAAGACTGTCCTCGGATTAAGGAGTGTCCACATGACTTTGTTGAGGTCTTTTTACACATGCTTGAGTAATAGTGCTCAACATTTGATTCAATGTGAAGAGAGAGGGGTCACCTGGTGGAAAGGATCCTCCATCTCCAAAATGAGCTTAGGATCGAGTTACCAAGAGGGTACTGGAAAAAGACACCATTTCTAAGTAGGAGTTTTGGTGGTAGGTGTGGGGTTTTCCATATAAATCAGAACTTTTGCTATTGAAAGATATGTATGAAGGAAGAACTTTCTTGTAGCAGAACTGAACTTCTTTTGGGAGTAGCAAAATCTATAATAGAGATATTTTAAAAACTATTATTAGCTTAGTGTCTTTTTTCCTTTTTTTATGAATTTAGTTCTTTTGTACATGTACTCTTGTTTTGCTTTGTTTCTTCCATGAATGCATCTATTGACCTTTTTCAGTTTGATGGTTGTCTTTGTAGGGGATATAAACGCTTTTTCAGGAGAACATTATTAGAAACATCAGACTATCTGAAAGATGATCGTCTCTTGGTCCAATGCACTGTTGGTGTTGTCAGATCATACAATGAAACACCAAAGACTTTTTCTCTGCCTGTGCCACCATCAGACATTGGAATTCATTTTGGGCAGCTCCTAGAGAGTGGAGAGGGAGCAGATATAAAGTTTGAAGTTGAAGGTGAAGTCTTTGCTGCACACAAGTTGGTTCTTGCTGCCCGCTCCCCCGTGTTCAGGGCACAACTCTTTGGTCCATTGAAGGAAGATAATGTACAAAGTATTAAAGTTGAAGAAATACAGGCTCCAGTATTCAAGGTTTGGAACCTTCTTTCTTTCGCATGTCTGTTGACCCTTATTCTGTTGTATTATTCTTTATGAAGGGAGGAATTTTGCCCATGAATGCTCTAAGTTATTGCAAGTGTTGTGTGTTCCAATAAAAAAATGAAAAAATGATGGTAAATATACATGTCATGGCTATACAACTAGCAGCTATTCTAGTTTTCTTTTTTGCTTCATGATTTGATGGCTTCTGTGCTGATTGAGTCACATGTACCTGATTGTTTTCACCTGCCTTCCTGAGCCATATATGTTGCCATTGCTACCATATGCAGGGTTACTTTTTATCAGCAGAATATTTGGAGATTGTATGTGCACAACTCTTTAATATCCTATTTCTGTGAGACTATGTATTAGCATATGATGTGTGTTGTTTGTTAATATTGGTGCTGAAATTTGGATTTTGGCTCAATAAAGATTCCTAGGAAGTGGCAAAATCTATCAACAAGGGATTAGAGTCTTCTGTATTCCACTACTGCCGTGGAAAAGCTATCAACAATGGGTTATGGCCTTTGCCATGCATTATTCTGGGATCAAATTGGTATTGAGATGTTAGATTTTGCCAGTCTGCTTATAAGATGCTTATAAGAAGTACTGGTGAATGTTTTTGTCCCCTTTTAGTTATAACTTCAACAAGGTCCTTCTGGCGGATTTTACTATCATGATTCGTTGTGAAATAATTATGGGAAGTTGCACATGGCAAAGGACAAAATGATGATATTGTACTCTGTTACCTTTCTAAAAAAAACATTGAAAATATTGTATCAGGCAAACTAGGGGTCATATCATACATGCTAGTTGGAATCACATGCTAATATGCTTACGAAGGTGTTGCTGTTGGTAGCATGTGCCTCATGGAGATGTAGGTTTAGGGGGAGGAGAGTAAACTTTAGTACGATGAGCTGAAATCTATGCTTATTATAGTTTGCGGTCTTGATTTTTATGTTTAATGGGGTTTATGTGATTTGGGGGGGGGGGGGTGAGTTGAATTTTCTGGAGCCTAAAGCAAAAAGTACCAACCTCTGTTGCGATTTTAAGGCAAAGGGTGTTAAAAAGCATGGGCTTTAACAAAGAAAGGTGTTAAAAGTAGAAAAAAACAAAAAATATATATGTAATGCAGAGGAAAATGAACTGCAAATGCAATAATAACTATTTGGACAAAAAAATCGAAGTAACTATAAATAAGTGAACTCTATGAAGTAAAATCATGCGAATCAAGTTCAGAAACTATTTTAAACTTCTGATTTAGATGAAAAAATGCATTTTTATATTGTTGGAGCTAGTTTTCTAAGTACTTTAATTTAATTTTTTATTCTTGATCAGTAAAATTCTTTCATATTGTTTTTAACAATTTACATATCGTTTTACCAACTATATTTATTGTCTAGTATCGCCCTTTTAAAGGCAGCCCATAGGTTATGAGGCATGTAACTTAGCACCTTAGTGTCTAAACAGAGACGCCAGCTAAATGGCGAAGCACATAATGGATTTAACTTTGCTTTATGGCTTCCTGTGTGCCTCAAACAAGCCTTTGACACCACTACCCTTAGGCTTATTAGGATGAAAGAACAGGACTTGACCTTCTCATCACCCCATATATGGTATTAAACTGGGTTTGTTGTTGTTGTTTGTTCTCATGGAATTACATGTAAAGCATTACCTAAGGGTGTGGCCTAGTTGTCAATTAAGTGGGTGCAATCGTTGGAGACTTGGGTTCAAATCTCAGCAAAGGCACATCTTCCCATTTGCCTAAACTTGGTGGGCAGAGTTTGACATGTGTTGGTGGCAGGTAGCACGTAATCGCTAGAATGGTCAAGGTGCACAAATTGGTGCAGATACTACTACTATTAAAAGAAAAACTACATGTAAAAAGCAGGTTGTGGCCGCCCCTAAAATCAAGAAGCAATAGCGTTGTTGTTCCATCCTAGCAGCAGTGAGGTTAGAGCCATGAATTAACAGAACTGGGGGCGAAAGATTGCGTAATTATATGAGCTAAGCTTGAACTCAATTTTGACCGAACACATTAAGGGAGCCGAGCTTGTGTTGCTTGAGCTTCTTCTGTGATCACGAACTAAAAAAAATATTTTCTTTAGGATTAATATTATGTGAGACCAAGGGGGATGGAGGTGGGGGTTACATTGTTTCACTGAGCCAAATGAGTTCAAGCTCAAGATTGCTTCGGAGCTTAGTGGTATTTGTGGTGAGCTTGGCTTGCAATGCTGTAGTTGAGCTCAAAACACCTAAGATACCGGCGTGCTCTAGAGGTGTTGTGCGTCTGTTTCTATGTTGGTTATGGTGTTTTTGGATCTAGTAATCTGGCTTTGCAAAATGTCTGCATATTGTTTTTCATGCCTAGAGTCCATCAGGCTTGTTGCTTTTCTCTTTGTATGCTTCCCTATGCTTTACTTTTATCATTTTATCATTTCACTAGGCCTTCAGATGTCTGCCTAGATTTTTTATCTTATTTTTTGATAACCGTGGTGTCCGGGCTAGCTTGCGCACCTCGACTAATTTCACGGGATACCTGCTACCTACCACTAGCAATTCCACCAAGGCTTGGACAGATAGGAAGAAATAACTTAGTGGGGTTTGAACCTAAGACCTTTGCCTGGATTTTGTCATCAAATAGCTGCTTCTTTATTACGCTTATTTTTTCTAAGTTTGGGAGTAGTGAACTTGGCATCTGTGATTTATTGTTTTTTTCTTTAAATCTTGGCGTCTGATATGAATTTAAATGGGAGCATTGTTAGTGAGGATTCATATTGCCGACCCCAACTTGTTTGTACCTAAGGCATAGGTTTTGTTTTATCTGATAGAACTTTCTTGTTTTGCTTTTTTCCAGGCGTTGCTCCACTTCATCTATTGGGATTCCCTTCCTGATTTACAAGAGCTTGTGGGTCTCGATACAAAATGGGCAGTCACTTTGATGGCTCAGCATCTGCTTGCTGCAGCGGACCAGTATGGGCTTGAGAGATTGAGAGCACTTTGTGAGGCTAAGCTTTGCGAAGATGTTACAATCAACACTGTTGCCACAACTTTAGCTTTGGCAGATCAGCATCATTGTGTCCAACTGAAATCTGTGTGTCTTAAGTTCATTGCGTTGCCTGAGAACTTGAAAGGTGAAGTATTTGATGCCTATTGATTGGATAACTGCTCATCTATTGGTGTTTTTATATTAGCAACCAATTAATCATATTGAAAACTCTTGGAGAAGTATATTGATTTCTTTGTGGGCCCTTTAGTTGACTTGATGTGAAAAGTTGTTTCAGCCTGGTTATTACATGAATATCTTGCCTGACTTTCTGAGTGCACTTTTCACCCTTGCCAATTAAGCCACCAAGCAAACACATCCCATTATTTTCCTCTACTGGAGATTCTACTCACCTATTGGTGATCTTGTGCTTGCTAGTACCTAGTCTTTTAAGTGTATTTCATTTTGCTATACATTACTTTGCAGCATTGACGTCTTTCACTTTTCTGCACTGAAACCTTGCAATTGTTCCTAGGGCAAAGTGAATAATTTATGAATGGGCTATCAAAAGATCTTGTCCTGATTGGATGTTTTTCTGTAAATATCTTGTTTACACTGCTGTCAACACAAACTTCTGGCTAGATGTCATATGTCTGCACTTCTGCTATTTGTTCTACATATATTCCTGCAGGCAATCAGCTATTTGTCCTGTTAAATAATCTTTACTGGGTTTCTATTTGTTTAAGCTCTGATGCAATCAGAGGGATTTGATCTGGCCTGTTAAATGCATCTGACAGTTTTTATCTGTTTTCAGCTGTGATGCAATCGGAGGGATTTGATCACTTGAAGGAGAGTTGTCCTTCTGTCATCACAGAATTGCTGAAGTATGTCGCTGGGATGAATGAACATGCAATCATTTCTTATGTACACGGTGGACACATTCTAGATGGCACTGATGTGAATGGAAGAAGAGTGAAGCAAAGGATTTATTGAGTGCAAGGTTCCATATTTGATGCTGTGTAGCAATTTATAATGACATTGTCATAAAAAGAATTTGACAGTTCCAATTGGTACAGTTATTGATTCTATTACTAGTTCTATTATCAAAGTGCATATAGTCCAGGAATGCTTTCGTTGGTCACTCGTATTGTTCTGTTTCTGAGCAAATGGACCTTTAACCTAGGGTGGATGAGGAGGTGCCTGCAATATGTGTAGTAGGTGCTTAAATGTTCTCATTTTAGGACGAAGTCAACAGTTGTGTGAGTCTAAGCAGCGGTTGATGCTGGTATAGTGTGATTTCTTTCTTTCCCTTTTTATACTGAAGCTTGTAATATTGTCAAGTTGAGCAAATTTCGCTCACTGGTCTGATTTTCATGTATGATTGATGATGGATATTCTGGTTTCTACTGTTATTCAAATATTAAGTGTTTTATTCCTTTTCTATTTCAGTGCAACACTTGTTTCACCATACATCAGAATGTGACCAAGACACTGATTGAAATATGCAAATTGCACAATAGCTTTCTGACCTTGAATGGAAGAAATTCAAATAGGAGATACTGACTAAATGGATTCACAAAGGCTAAACTAGTTAAGCGTATGTGCATAGCTACTTATCACATTTTCAAGGCAAAGTTTGTAGTATTGGAATAAAGCAGAATGAGTAATTGAGAATTGAAGTAGGTGATGCCTACTGATTTGGAATTAAGCATAGATGAGTGACTGATCTTGATTGCAACAATGTCTTGTATTACATACAAGTTCACATCAACTTAAAAGGAGGGATCCAGAAGATATAGATTGAAACATCCAAGTCAACATTGCCTAAAAAAAAGAGATTCAGAAGAAAAAACAAGTTTCAGAACGGGCGTCGCATCACCATGGCAGGCAGGCAGATCAGGCATATGATTAAAAGCAAAAATATCACGTCACCTGTTGTACTTTACTGATGAGTCCAGGAGGATTAGAAACATAGAAGTCCTTGTTTAATTAAAGAATGTTACAGGTTACACGTTAAGTTATCAATGTCTTAGTCATATAACAAAGTAGCGTGTCTACAATATTTTTGCAAAGAATAAAGGGAGAGGGGAAAAGAAAAAAGAAACATGAAGAAGTAACTGATACCAGTAGTTCTTGTCATCAGATACCAACATCCACCTTCATCAGTGTTTCTATTTCTATCCCGATCACACACCATGAGTGGTCATGGAGGAGACTCCATGTTGAACCTTTTAAAGTTTAGCAATACAAGTAAACGTCTGAACCCACCAAAATCACATATTAGGACTCTTCAAGTTCAAGTGCTCGCCTCGCATCAATTACCAAGCAATCCTGAACTTGGCCTTGCTGGTAACTTATGGCTGACAGTCAAATTAACTTGGATCTGGCGTGTTTTATGAGTGAACCATCCTTACGGAATGTAAGCCGTGTGTANAGTGAACCATCCTTCCGGAATGTCAGCTTAGTACATGGCTGAACTGGGAAGCTGAGTGTGAGATGGTTAATCGGAGATCCCATAAATTTAATACCATTGACTACCAGGTCCACCTGGAGCTGCAGCAACTTTTCTTGCCATGTACTGTTCAGGTTTTGCCTGCACACCATTGGAACCGTCACTACTATCTTCACCCCTTTCATTTTTACAGCTGGGATGTCTTCTAGGGTATGAAGCATTAGAAATGGGATATTGAGTCGGACCACCAGGGTTCCTTGCAATTTTCCGCTGTTCAATGGCATCTGCTGCCGTCACTGCTGCTCCACAGTTGTTGTAGCGCATCACTGAACTAACGACCCTCCCCGGTCTTGCAGCACCACCTGCATGACAATTCCTCTTGTTAATAACATAATAACACTTTCTTAAGCATTAAAGCAACCTCATATCGCTTAAATAGTGATGTTTCTCTTCTATACAACTAGGGTATGCGCACTAGGGCATCATGTATCAGTCTTATCTATCTGTTTTCCGTTTACAAGAATACTAATGAGCCAGAAGAGAACAGAACTTGACGTAGAGTTTCTCACCAGTGAAACTAACTTCATCCTTGATGACACAGTATTAGTGCCTCATGGGTGGGAGTTTGGAAGTATATTAGGGCTTTGTGGCCTGAATTTAATAAAAGAATTGGCTTCAAAATTGGAAAACGGCAGAAGGATTTCATTCTGGCTAGACAATAGGATTGGGACATACCCCTTTGAAAGAATAATTTCCCCAACTCTTCACCCTGTCGGCTAACACAGATTTTAAGGTTCAGACGGAACCTGAAAGATTGGGAGCTGGAGGAGGTTGCAGAATCTTTTAAGACCTTTGAAGAAGGCAAAGAGTTATTTGATGTAAAGGTCATTTTGGGGTGGAAATAAAAGAGGAAAGTGGTGTTCACAGTGAAATTCTGCTACAAATCTCTTACTGTAACAGAGATAACAGTGCAGCAAAATGGAAGACAATTTAGAAGTCCGAAGTACCATATAAGGGGCTTCTTTCTCTTAGATGTGTAGTTCACCAAGCGTGTTTGACAAAAGAGAAATTCCAGAGAAGAGGAATTTAGCTCTGCAATAGAGGTTATCGATGTGGAAAAAGGGCCGGAGAACATCAAGCACCTATTTTTGCATTACGCTACAGTAAGACACCTATGGACTCTCTTCCTAAACAACTTTTGGGTAAACTGGACTATACCAGGCACCTGAGATGGAGGAGTACTACTTCTGTGCTCTCAATTTTGGCAAGACAGAGTGTTTCACGTCTTTTCCAGGTTTCCAAGTTTTACATATGTAGATATCCAACAAATCATTTGCATATGCTAATTCATTAACAATTCACAAGGAATTGCAGCATCCCAATATGTCTTTCCCAATTTCAATGCAGAAGGAAGAATATAATCTTGAGTGCATACACCATCATCAATACGAAAAGGGAATGCTAATTTTTATAGCTGGCAACAATCAAATGAGAAAAATTGAATAGTACCCCCGGAAACACATTAAGTACTACTCTCAGGAAAACATACTTCTAGCATTTAAAATATGAAAAGAGATCAGAATATTGGACGCTAACTAGAAGTTAGCAAACTAGTGAAATCAAACCTTGAACATTCTGGGGAACTTGGAGAGGCAGCCTTGTCATGGGGATCATTGAACTCCGGTCTACATGTGGTTTCTCGCCTTCTTTGATAGAGCATTTAGAAAGATCATTTGCAACTTCAACTGGATTTTGCACTGAATTATCTGAATATAATACACAAGCCCTGTATCCAAAATTTATCAGTGGCTAGAGTTGTGCAAGAATTGAGAAATATCTGATAACAAAACCTTGCAGGACATTACTTTAATGGGAAAAGCTTAGGAGAAGTAACAAAAATAGTCAAAGGAGAAAGGAGTTTGAACAACTAGCATGACTGCCGGGGACTAACCTGGGTAGGGATGATGAGTGCTGCCTCTCAGGCGGAGCAACAGCCCCTCCTTTTCCATAATGCTCTTCAAGATATGCAAATTGTTTCTTGAATTTGTCAACAGCACTGGGGAGAGACAGAAGAAACTATCAGTGATCTAATAGACAACAAAGAGAAACAAATCAGAAACTCGCTACTCCAACGCAACCAAATTCTGCTTCTTAAAAGAAACTACAGTGTATAATACCCTATTAAGACATTTTTCTAAGTAATAGCGAGTTTATTCATATAGGACTAAGTGAGTGCTGATATGTTATATGTACCATAGCAGAATATTACGGTCGCCACCAAATTTTCTCAATAACCCATGGCCCCCCTCCATAAATTTTGTACTGCAGCTAGCAAGGATGAGTACAAATAAGCCAGAAATGATAGGTTTCTCTTAGAGAAAGGTCTTCTAGAGGGTAAAAAGCAGCCAGATTGAGGCTTGATAAAAGAACAGACGATTCATAATAAGCTTGACATGACTGATCATGGAGAGAATCAAGTACACCAGTCATTCTTGGGACATGCCTACGATAGTATCAAGTTTAACTTCTTGAGATAATGAGAAAACTTTAAGTCGAAGTGCCATCTTTGCCCTCTCTTTGTAAGCTTCTAAAGTTGGCCATTTCTGAGTTGATCTCTTTTCCTGGTAAAGATTTAGATGTACATCTTTCTCAAGCAAATTGTCAGATGAACCACAACGGTTTTTATCAGGCAGATGAATTATAATACTTGTCTCTCCGCCCTTCCAGAGTAGGGGTAAGGCTGCGGACGTCTTATCCTCCCCAGACCCCACTTGTGGAAACTCACTGGGGACATGTCGTTGTTGTTGTTGTACATGAATTATACTCCCTCTGTTTCAATTTAGATGACACACTTTCTTTATTAGTACGTTTCAAAAAGAATTGACATATTTATACAATTGAAAATAATTCAACTTTAAACTCTTCATTTTACCCATTTTACCCTTAATGAGAAGCGTTTATAACCATACAAATTTCATGGCCCCACAAAACTTTTACCCTTTAAGCTTTTAAGACCACATATTTCAAGTCTTTTTTTTCTTCTTAAACTCCGTGCCGAGTCAAACTACCTCATTTAAAATGAAACGTAGAGAGTAATACTTGTGATTGGCAAAATGAGGGTCGATCAGGATACTACCACATCCGAAAATGGGAAGTTTATAGATCCAGATGAATTACCTTTAAATAAAATAATACATGCCATCATATGGAACATTGGTTTCATTCCAAGATCTTCCTAGAGTAAACAAATCTAGATTTACACCTTTCTAGGTCAAAGCTGATTGCATGAACTAGAACTACTGTATCAAATCGCAAGAGGAAAACAAGACAAGAACCACTCCTATTAATCCTTTATTAGAAGAGTTCTCAAAGTTGGACTACCTTGAAATTGAAGTTAAGAGTTCCTTTGAACTCTGAACTACCCCAAGGAGGAGAAGTCTGCTCTGATTCACAATGCAAATAAAGCAGTTTAACATAGAACTACATTGATTATTAATCTAAGCAAAGGAAAACATGTAGGTAAACATTCATGCGAAATGGAAGAGATCAGCACTATAATTAACTAAGAAAATAGCAGAAACGAAACAGAAGAAAGAAAGAGAACGATGGAGAAGACTTCATGTAAAGGATATGAGGTTAAATAGACGTAGTGAAACTTCTCAACTCTATCCATCTTTCTAAGAGAACACGACGTCGTGGCCATGCCACCTGAGTTGCAATACTGGAACTTAAACATAATATATAGATGTAATCTATGAACTCATTAACATGCACATGCAACATAAGAGGCATGAATGCGAAGAAAACCATGCAATACACAAGTTCAAAGACAAGACGAAAAACTCAGTTTGAGCAAATGTACCTTGGGTACATGAAATTTGTTGGTTCCTGCCCCTCTAAGAACTCCTTCAACATCTTTGGATGGTATTCAAGAATTTCTCTGTATATTAGCTCCCTCACATCCTCCTTTGTCACCCTTCGCCTTTCAA